AGGCATGCACTGCCCCCCTGCATTTATTAGTTTTAGATCCTTAGAGACAGGACTTTCACACACACACCCTCTCTCTCTATTTATTATCGGTTCGGCTTCTGGGGTGGGTTTTGGAGGGGGGGGGTAGCATATATATACATACATGTGTTTGTTCGTTTGTACATGCATGCATACATACATACATGCGCTCCTACGTAAGTATGTATATACTTACCTGCATGCATACACATAAATATCTACAGAAATACGCTTATATTCTCAACTGCACTGTGCATGTACCTGAAGCTTTGACTATATGCAAGAAAGCCAACCGATTGTTTGCTTTTTTTTCCAGGTTGTTGTTAAGGGTCCTTCTATCTACTTTCATCAAAACGAACCGCTGGTTCTCCCAGCAAAGCCCAGGTAGACCCCAACAGCGAAAGAGCACCCAGCACCCAAGAAAAATTTCAGGAGCGCTTCAAAATTTTCAAGAGATCCGAAGACCCCCCCAGAAAATCCCAATCCGGCACCAAACCATGTTTGACGCCGGGACATGCGTCGGCTTTAGCAGAAACCGGATCGCATCTAAAAACACGTGCAGGACGGTGGCAGAAGCACGGTTTTCGGAAGAGGAAACACGAGCCGCACCAAGAATGCTCGCGGCACTGTGGCGGGAGCACGACTTGTGGTAGGAGCACGATGTCCGCCCAGAAAACCCAAGCATGTACAGCATTCGCGAGCACCAAAGTATTGGATCGTAGGGTTGCACGCGATTTCACACGACAATGATCGACACGCCGCAGCTTCATAGTGTGACCCCCCGCGAGCGCCTCATGTTGGCTCCTCGTGCGGACAGGGAGCTTGTCCCTTTGCGGTTAACGCAAGAGCCGCATACTGTTGTCATGCTGCTTGCGGGAAATCTCTTGTGCTGATACAGAAGTACCCACATACATACATACATACATACATACATACACACACACACGTACATGTCTATGTCTATATCTATCTATCTATATATATATATATGTATATGTATGTATGTATCCTGGTCGAGAGCGTGTGCCAAAAAATCTATGTATGTATGTATGTATGTATGTATGTATGTATGTATGTATGTATGTATGTATGTATACGTTCATATTTTTCTGGTAGCCACCCACGTATACGTACGCAGGTTTACAGATATTCGCGGGCTTTCAGAGTATGTACTCTTGGATCCTGAATGTTTCTCGCAATCGCCACGGTGACTTAGCACAATTGCTGGGTTGGTCTTCGAGCACCTGGCGGACGTTACCAGGCTTTACGAGGTTGTTCTTGCTGGCTCGAAGAGCCTCCTGCAGTTTCCACCCTCCAGAAGCCTGTTTCATTCAAAGGTGTAGAAGTGCACGACTGGAAGGTGTAGAGTATAGGATTCAACGAAGCTTCTGCAGTCCACAGCCTCCAGCTTCCACCACAGGAGCGGCCGCCCAGAAAGAGATCGAACTGACGCTTGCGCAGCTAAAGGCATCGCGAGCAGCCACTTGGCGGCGTGGGTCGTGCGGAGGGCATGCTGGGTGCGTCCGTTTGGCTCTGCCGCCTTCGTGATAATAACGGGAGGTGATGAGGAGCATCTTTCCCGCCGATGTTGTCAGGAAGTTCTGTCCAAGAGCACCCGCGTCAAGCAGCTTGAGAGCAAACTCATGGCACTGGAGAACAAGGTGTCCGAATCGCGGAAGGCTTCGGGCGGGTGTGGAGCTGAAGTTTCAGTGCTAGGTCCTAGTTTGATTCACGGCATTTAGTCCATCGTGACCACATCGTACTTTCTCTGATGCCTGCCATTCGTGCCTGGATGCTCGTCGGCAGATCTCTGAGTCCAGAGACGTTAAGTTAGGCACTCCGGGAATCCGCAGATGGCCATTGGGCCATAGTGTGACCTTGCAGACTGCACTCCTTAGCACAGCTGCCTGCCTTGCAGTCGAAGAACGACAGCTCGGAGGTCAGCGTTCGCTCCAGCTGCTGGGCCGCCAATGTTTCCAACCAGGGTGTCTTTGAGAGTGAGGTTCTCTTAGGGTGTCATGCAAGTAAAAACAGCGTCCTCGGAAGCTTCCAGGGGTCATCCTGTAACTGTGACAGCTACTTGCAATCTATACAGGTGTTGCGCACGGCATGTCGACTCCTTCGAAGGCCATTTGCTTTTGTCTGTCCAGGGGTGTCGCCAGATGCTTACGCTTACATCCGAAGCCTGCTGTCCGTGGGTGCCAGTGCCCAGAGTGTGAGAGATTCGAGCCACTAAGGCAAGCTTGCCGAGCTTGAGGGCAAGGCTGTGCCGAAACAGTGCAGTTATGTTGTTAATTGGTGCGTTCATTTGCGAGTCGTTTTGTTGTTCGGTTTGTGCGGGTATTCGTTGTACACGAGAGCTGACTTACAGCTCAAGTTTCAAGAGACTCTTCGCCCCAATTCCGAGCACCCAATTCCAAGTTCTTGGAAAGTATATAAGTCTAGTAGGGCCAGAAACCTTGCGAAGTTGAAACTGGCCAGCTCCATGCACCAAGCTCTGAGTACTGGAAGGTGCACGAGGAGCTTGAAAGCACCTGTTTGCCAGGTCAACCACCTGACCAAGCAGCTCGAAAATTCCAACCGACAACTTCAGGACCGACTTGTTCGAAGCGGTTGTAAGGTTTTGGAGGTTTGGGGGTGTGGAAAGGCGCATCACACAAATGAGTGCTGTCGCAGGAGTCGCTCGAAACCAGCATCCGCTCCGACATCAGTGAGGTGCATCGCGGTGTCCTTGTCAACTCTTTGAGGTCCCCAATGGCGAATGGCGGCTGGCGACACGACTTTCAATGTGTTATCAGGTTTGGGTCGTATGGAATGCGTTGGCGCCTCTCCAGCATATTCAGCGGCTGTCATGTGCATTGTTCATGTTGAGCTGGTGCAGATCCCGGAACTCAGCCCTACATGCCGCGAACGGGGGACTGACTAACGTTTGGTAAATCGGCACAGGACCTTCAGGCTGAACGCCGACGCGCCAGCGAGTGGCAGGCTGACCCAGCGAGTTTGGGTTCAGGAGTTCGGGGCCCAGGCTACTAGGAGAACCCGGTCGAAAGGGGAGTATTGGTTTCAAGGTCTCATGGCCTGTCCACAGGACCGATGCGAGATGCTGCGGCAGTCGCTGGCAGATCGCCACCCGGCAATACCACTATATCAGTCACAAGACTTGACACCACCCGTAGAATGCAACGATCCTCGGACAAGTTGAGGTTCATACTATGTTTCGGGGTGGCAGATTTTGCCGACAGTGTGCGGTCGACGCACCGCTTGTTTAGACGCTAGCATAGGCTACGCTTGGTAAGTGAATTGCCATGCCTAAGGGCAGTTAAGGGTCGCGACGTTTTCGTAGCGCCTCGATCTGAAGTTTCGTGAGCCGATTTGCAGGTGTAAGGAAGGTCGCATGGTTGCGGCGAGAGTTCGAGATTCAGCGACGAACAAGACTTTCTGTGGGGGGCAGCACTTGCAGACAACAGACATTGAGGCGAAACCTCAGCTTCACAGGACCTGCAGGCAGGACTGCAACATACTGCAACACCACCAAGTTCGTGACTTCGAGATTCCGCTGCCTGCAAGGAGACCCGGCAGCAGCTTCGCGATACGGAGAACAAGGCCTGCCTGTTTTTGTGGCACTCCGTTACGATCTTGTCTCGCAGATCGGTGGTATAGGGCTGTGGCTCGTAGAGGCTCGGCGATTCCCCGTCCGTTCTCACAAGGCAGCTGTGCCGACAGAGCGTTTCGATCTTCCTCAGGTGAAGCAGCTGAGCGCAGAGCTGGCAGGTGTGCGTGAGGCCAATGCCGAACCTCGGTGAAGCTTAGGACATCTTCAGACCATCCGGAATCCCAACTCTTTGCAACAAAAGCACGACAAACTGCGGACCCAAGTGCGGGGTCAAGACTGTCACAAGCTGGGAGTCGGAACACAGAAGTATATAAAGCCGTAAGTGCCATCCTCAAACCTGAAAGATGGCCGAGGGGCCGAGAGTGAGCGTAGCAACCGAGGCACACCTGGCGCTGGGCTCCGAGACGGAGGCCGCTCTTCCAGCGCTTCCGTGGAATATAGAATAACATAGTGTATATGTATATATAGTATATATATATATATATAGTATATATATATATATAGCATATATATATATATAGTATATATATATATAGAGTATATATAGTATATAGTATATATAGTATATATCAAGTCACAGCACAGCCAAGCGGCTCATGTCGTTGGCATTCGTTTTAGGTGTCGTGTTACGTGTGCGAGGTCTTGCAGCAGTTCAGAGCCTCCGAGGGCCCACGATCTCCGAAACTCGAACTTCGATGCAGGTCCGGCAGCTGAAGCAACAGCTGCAGCAGCTCGAGGCCCACATTTCTGCAGACTTCAAGGTTTCCTCCGGGTTGATCCGTTCTGGCTTTCAGGCTTTAGCTCGGGTTATGGTGGGTTCTTGTGTGGGTATGTGTGGGTAGGGGTGTGTGTGGGTGAGGGTCGGCTCCGGAGCGGCTCCTGCAGTGATATGAGTAGAAATGAGACACATCGGGCATCCTTGCTTGTGAGGGTGTGGAAGTCGAAACTCCATTACAAGGTACTCTGCTACAGTATACTGTATTATACCTCTCGGGTTCCAAACGCCGCAACTCAGTGCCAGGTGGAGGTGGAACTCCGCAAGGCGCGTGCAGCGGCTGCGGAGGCACAGTTGTCGGAGCTGGCCGGTGAGCTTAGCGTGGCCTGGGCTGCGAAAAGTTTCGATGTTCCGGGTCTGTGGCCTGAGTTGTCGCGACAACAGAAGCAAGTAAGTTATCTGGAAATCCCACTCCTTCGAATCGGAGCAGCAACAGGGCTGGGGAGCTCAGCGTCGGCATTGTCTCACATTGTCGTAAGAGGATCAAAACGACGACAGGGCGCAGAGATACGGCATGTTGCAGTACTGAAACTCACGACAAAAAGGCCAGAGTTATTTCTATTTATGCTCAGAGTCTTCATCACAAGCCTTGCTGCCAGCTTCAGCGCTTTCCCGTTTTGGTTCTGCACTCAAAGCCCATTCTGCATTGCTGTGAAGCTTGAGCTGACAAGATCTCAGCTGCAGAGCCTTGAGCATTTGGTCCTCTCGGAATCAATTGAACACCATCCGAGTCGTCAAGTCTTTGCTTGCTTCAATTTGCTTCAATCACTTTGCATTTACGGGTGGAGTTCCTCCGTTGCACCCTGCCGGAGTGCATCCCAGGACGCCAAAGCTGCTAGAACCCGGACGCTGTCCCAGTTTAAGGACATCGACGCCGAGATGGACAGGGCTTGTTCTTGTCTTGGGAAGTGCAGCTCCCGCAAGGCCTACTGCAGGCAAGTTTCTGCCAACTCCAGCTATGAAGAAAGCGGCCCCGACGCCACATCCGCAGGAGGGTGCCCGGAGGAGACTTGAGAAGGCGGAGCGGGAGAAAGCACGCGCCGAAGGCAGCCTTGGCAGCCTTGTCAGCTTGTACTGGTAGCCGCTTTAGCCTTGCTCTTTGCATGTGGGCCTAGCGCGGTACCATGTTGCGCAGGCGAGCGCCGAGAGGCGGAAGATCGTGCTTTGGGGCTCCGGGACGAGTGCAAGCGTTTGAAGAAGGACAGCCGAGTGGGTAGCTATGCAAGATGAGATAAGAGGACATGCCATCTCGCAAGAACGTTTGTGGCTTGGTGTAGGCATGCTTTGCCTTTACTCTGGTTTGTGCATTCGCTGTGTGGCGACTTGGTAGAAAGCACCTAGGGCCTTCATCGTGTGTCCAGTATTCTTTCCCATGTCTTTTGCGACATGTGTTTGGGATGAAAATCTGCAAATGCATTGTTCGTGCTTATGGTGGAGGAATCAAAGTGGTTTTTAAGATTTCAACTTTCGTGAAGAGCCAGAAAACCCAATGCCTTCAAGTCAGGAGACTTCCTTCAATAATGTAGGGCTTCTGAGCATGATTGAACGAAGAAGCTGCAGTGAAGGGGCATCGGATGCTCTGGCAGTGAGATGGCAGCCCACGCATGCCTAGGAGCTGCATGACACCAAGCACACGATGCGTACCTTGCCCATTACGGTCATGCTTCTTGGTTTTTGTTTTCTGCTTTTACGTGCAACTGGGTCAGGTTCAGAGGGATGTGATGCATAAGGGCCGTTAAAGGAAGCGTATTCAAGGTGCCATCGACAGTCCCAAGAGGGCAGGCACCATCTGCGCCACTGCGCGTGCGGATGCGCTGATGGAGGTACCAGTAGAGCTGAGTTCTAGATTCATTGCTGTGTGTTTCGGGTTTATCAGCCTTCAACAGTGACCTGCACCAGCTCGGCAGGCAGGTGCGCACTTTGCTTCCCTGACGGACCTCAGCACCTCCACGGGTGAGGTCCCCGTGCACGGAGGGCTTGAGAAGATAGGGTCGTTTTGCTTCACATAGCCGAGTGTGGAAATGCTGGCTGTAGTGGGCTCCTCAATGTGGGGCAGATGCCACCAGCTGCCAGGTCGATGACTACACGCATGCCGCACGCAAGCCAGCACCGTGTCAGCAGAGATGTCAAGGAAGCAAGTCAGATCATGTGCAGGCTTTGCAAGCTGGGTGCTGCGGCTTCCTCTCGTCCGAAAAATGCCCACAAGTGTCCCGCAAGGCCACGCTCACGCGGCATGGCAGCATGGGTGCCATCTCGGCATCTGAAGCCAAAGCGGAGCGAGCAGCAGGTGGCTGATGTCACGGTTTTCCGCGATGCCCGTTCGCATGCCTCTAGCTTTTCACGTGGGCCAGCACCTGCCAGGTGCCCTCGACGAAGCCAGAAGGGAACTAAAGCGGCAGCAGAAGGATGCCTTCCGTTTCTGACGCACATCAGCGTCATTCACGATCATAAGTGCCACAGATGTGTTCTGGCTGTGAGCAATACCGATATTGAAGCGCCAGCCCTTGATGGCCATGCACCAGTCTCACGGGATAGCTGGCCTTCTTCGATACCAAACGATCAAACGATACAAAGCCCAAGTGACAACGTGCAGGAAGCGGGAGGCTTGCGACGAGAACTTGCAGTCGCGGTGGCAACGGCGTTGGCAGCCAAGGCAGGTAACCACTAGGATGTAGTGCACTGAATGCACATTGAATGTTCAGCCATATTTGGCCTCTTCCTCTTCAGACGTCGCGAGAAAAACTCGGCTTGCTTGCAAAGGCTTTTGATATCGATGAAGTTTGCATATGCCGATGAAACTGCCATCTTCACCGGCATTGCGGAAAGAGGAGAGCAGATCGTGCACACATTGCAGGAAATTGCAGCTCACAGCAACCTCACTCTCAACTACGAGAAGTCAGTGCTGCTCCGCTCACAGGCAGCACGCAGCCATATACACCTCTTCAAAGGTGACAGGAACAAGCAGGTTACGCAGGCCAAGTACCTGGGAGTCATGTTAAGCTCTGACTCCTCCGCAAGACAGACATCACCACCTGGCTTCGAAAGGCCACACCAGCGTTTCAAAACACTGCACCAGTTCCGGAGACATACAGGCTCGCGCGCTTGCCCGGAAGCTCAGGATTTGCAATGCAGTGTTCGTTCCGATGCGTGCCTATGGCATGGAATCAGCCGCGCTCACAAACAGCCGACCTTTACCGGCTTGAAGCCTTCCACTCACAGTCACTTCGCAACATCCACAGAATCAAGTCACAAGTCCACTTTTTACACTAAGATTTTCACTGACATCCCACCGGCACAAACAATCAGGAACGAAGGCGTCCGTGCTCTTGCCGACCAACCTCCGCTCACACACCACATCCACAGGGCACAACTTAAGCTATTTGGTCAAGTTTGAGCACCCTAGAAAGGAACTGTGTTTTCACCAAGGCGTTTGTGTGGAGGGTGGTTCGGTGGTTCTGTAAACTCGGCAATTAGGCCGGGTCGCCGTCGAGTACGCTGGGCGGAGCAGTGCTTTGACCTGGCGTGGCATGGGCTCTCAAAGACTTCACAGGCCCCTTCTAACCCTCACCGTCCTCACCCTGTTTTCCCATACGCGCACCTGCAACGTCACAGGCTGGCAGTGAATCGTCCAGCAATAAGCTCCTTGGGTCCAACTCTTTCTTCTCCTACTCACAGTGAAGTGTGTAGGGACGCAAGGGGGCTTTCTTTGCATAGGGCCGCCCAGACAAGCTGCCATCAGACCCTGAACTCTAACTGAGCTGAGTAGAAGTATGCAGCCTCCGGAGTGTCCGAGTTAGAGTCCAAACGACTCGGCAAACAGGCTGGGGGGGACTCTCCTCCTCCGCGGCGGCGCTCCGGTGTGCGTTTGCGTATCGAGCAGGCCGGGAGCATAAACCTGAAGTGTAAGCGGCTGAGGCAGTTCAGGAAAAAGGCAGCTGGGGCAGACACTCTTGGTTGAGGTACGGCCTACTGAGTGTGGGGCTGCATGAGGATGCGGGGAGTCTCCTCTCGCGAGAGTCTTTTCGGGTTTGTTCTACTTACAGTGTGATATAGTGACTATAGTGCGATAGGGAAGGTGTGATGGATTGCCAGTACACATTGCATCATCTTGCCATCAAGGAGCCGCCGGAAACCCTACAAACTTGCGTGAGCGTTCTGGCGACGAACAGCCTCGCAAGAGTATAGCAGACTTCTCAGGAAGCCGCGGAGCGGCTTTCCCTTGGCCTGGGCGCAGGCCATGAACAAGTGCGTTTGACGGGCAACTCTTGTTGGGGGGTCCTTTATTCGGCCATCTTACTGCCACAGTGGCTGGTACAGAAACCACTGACACCAGGTAGTTCAGCTGCAAAGTTCCTACTGTACGGTAGGTTGGCATGAGATGTACTTAGGCAGACACAGAGTGCCTGCACAGGTCGAATTGCTGCCTGAGGGTGGCGAATGACTGGCGTGCAAAAGCCGTTCTTTCTTTATGCGGAGATGCAGGCGGGAGGGGTGAACGGTCGGATTTAGATAACCTTTAATGGAGGAATCCAACCGAAAGCCGTGCAGTCCTCTTGAGACGGCGTCTCATGCCTGAATGACGGAGAGATATGCCTCCAGAACTTGGCTGGAGAAGTACCGCTGCTGTGATTTGATATGAAGGCGCAGCAGCTTTGCCCGGCTATGCCCTTTCCAAACGTGGACTTTCAGATGCCGAAGTTGTTCGCGAGCTTCATGTCCAAGTTTCTCTTAACCTGTTGTGGCCATGCCTGAGATGCCAACGGCGGTGTCCTGCAACAAGGATGGTGAACTGCTACAGGATTTGATTCATCTCACAATGCGCTTTTGAAGCTGTTCCGACCAGGCATGTGAGTTAGACTGGGGCAAATGCACCCAGTCGTTGTTTGTGCGCAAGCTAAGAGCATGCTCACGTACCGGCCGTTCTTCCGTGAGTGCACATAAATTTCTTTAAAGCTGCCCCAGAAGGCTTGTGGACATAATTGCCAGGTTCTTGTTCTGACTCTGGGCCTCTGACAGATGCCTTGATGTGACCCGTGAGACTTGGAAGTCATATTCTCCAAGAGTGTTTTGGCAGGCTTCCGGTATGTCCCTTGCTATGCCTGCAATCTGTTGCCCCCATCCAAGATGGGGCTGCCTGTGTTTCGTGTGCAGCAGTGGAAGTTGCAGCTCAGCTGAAGGGAAAGATGACTGCCATTATCTGATTGGACTCGGCCCCCGTGACCCTCAGTTTGATTGAGCTGTAGCTCTCTGCTGCCACAATGTGGAAGTTTGTCCCTCGTCCCTCCCAGCCCTGACCAAATCAACGCCCGTGAATCGCACAGTCTGGCTGCGCACCAGGTCTTTGGCAAAAACATTGTGCAGCCAGTGTTGAAAGGGACATCCTGGATGCTGGTTTGAGGTGCTTGGGGCCTTAGAGTCAGCGGTTGACGTAGCGCCGGAGCCCCCGATGTTGTCTTGCAGTCGAGGGAGATCTTTCCACCTGCCGCCATGCCTGGCAAAGGGCAGATGCCGCATGGTGAATTGGATGGTATTTGAGGCTGCTTGTGGGTTGGAAAGGCTTGGCACAAACGCAGCCCCCCACAGCGCTTGCAGTCTTCCTTGGACTAAAGGTACATTCGCAGGATCCTGGTTCAGGTTTGTTTACCTGCCGCTGACGAGTCGTGTCGTGTGCATTTTGAGACGGTGTTGATAGTGGCGGTGGCTGTATCCCCATCCAGACACGTGAACCCTAGGCAACGTTTCCAGTGTTGGAGTCAGGCTAATGCAAAGTGAAGGCGAACGTCACCTTTCCAGGGGGGAAGGCTTGTAGATCACAGCACTGGCAGTGCATTCTGGCGGAGCGCTCCTGAGACTGGCAGATCGACTAAGGCCGACCATGTTCCCGAAAAGCCGCAAATTGACACGGACACACGCGGGTTTCCTTTTAAAGTCCTCCCCGGAGCCCTCGACTCGAGCCCCGAGCTGCTCTGCTCTCTCTCACAGGGTCTTTAGCCCTGGCCTTGGAGTGCCGCCAAAGCGTGCAGCTGACCTTCGCTCTCCGAAAAGAAAGCGCCCCCTTATTCTGCTTCTGCGCCCCTGGTCGACTTGGAATCGAATGTCGGGCTTACTGCAGGGTCGGGTTAGTCTTGAAGCAACTGACCGCCTGCAACTGACCGCCTTCAGGCTGGCAGAGGGGCAGTGAAAGTTGACCAGGGAAACGGGGGCGGCCATGTATATTTGCAATTCATGCTTTTGCGGCTCAGTCTGGCCTCTCCCGTCCTGCTTTGTTAGTTGTGCTCCGCAATGAAGGAGTGGGAAGAAGATTGATGAGTCCTGCAGATGCCTGGGATCTATGTGGATCCTACATTATGTGCCGAAGCCCAGCAGGTGTTAGCTCCTGTATGCGAGGCAGGACGATTGGCCGGCATGCAGAAGCATTGTGCAAACTTCAAGACTCATAAATGAAGCACTGAGCCGGGGCTAAGCCCAGACAGTGGTCGATGCAGTAGCCCTCTGCGGCTGCTACGAGCAAGTCTCGAAGTATCCAGGCTGGATTGCAACATACCTATGAAATCATCAGGCAAGCTAGCAGGCTGACAGCATCTCTTTCCCAGCCACGCGCCACTGCTCAGTGCCTCGCTAAACAATGCTCCTCTCGCCGCAAAAAGCTGTGGACGGACAGCGTGGGATTTGGGTGGTTAGATTCTCATTCACAGGTTTGTGCACAGGCATTTCGTGGCAAAAGCTTCGAAAGCTTTCTGTTCTTCCATACCTTGCTTCCCGGCAAGCGCATATGCAGCGACTCGGTCACGTTGATCTGAAAGAAACCCCTTTTGAGCCGACCCCACCTCCTTGTGAGACATGGCTCAAACTGGCCAAAGCTTGGCTGACGGGCGGACTCGGGGGATTCCGAAGGCTGGAGAGTCTGGGCATGCGGTGTCGACACAGTGCAGCAAATAGTGAACAGGTGTACAGTCTTTGAGGCAGGTTTCTAGACTGATATTATAATCAAAAACCGGAATGGCTAACCCGCAGGACACTCGCATAATTCCGCACATGCATAATGTCATGTAGTGCAACACTACGCAAGGTTATACCAAATAAAGCAGTGTCGTGTTATCCCATGAAGTGTAACGTGTAATGCGATGTGATGAACCGTATTCGGAGTTTTTGGCGTTTCCAAATGTCTTTCCCCTCCTCCTAAGAGGCATGGCGCGGTATGGCAAGGCATTGTATGGCATGGCATGAGATGGCAAGGGATGCCATGGGACAGCATGGGACGGCATGGGAGGTGAGAAACTTACGTCTTACACATGCAACGCAAGGTGAGAAACTTACGTCTTACACATGCGTGCAGGAAAGCCCGTCTGTCAGCCAGTCCGTTTGTCACTGTACGTCGGGGTATCGAAAGGTGGGTCTATAGCTCTGTAGGTACGGTGAGGGCCTGGGCGTGTGTTTTGATCGTTTTGTGTGTCGATGAGTGACGGGTCTACACAATGCTGGTGCACGTTCGCAACCGACATCTTCGCGCAATGTCGAAGTGACGTGAGTCAAACTTTTCTGTTTGCCCGTCTGCCTGCCTGCGTGTTTTTTTGTGTCTCTGTGTGTGTGTGTGTGTTTGTGTAGTTTTGCTTTGCTTGCTTGCTTGTTTGATCCTTTTGGCTTGTTTTTGGTTTTTGGTTTGTTTTCGTGTGTGCTGTTGTGTGTGAGTGTGGGTGTGCACGGAGGTGTGCATGTGTGATTGTATGAGTGTAATTCGTACTATGTATGAATGACTGTATGCATGTATGCATGTATGTATGTATGTATGTATGTATGTCAGTGTGCATACAAGGAAAAGGTGCATTTTGCATGCATGCATCCGTTCACCCATGCATGCATGGATGGCTAGCTGGCGGGATGGCCGGCTGCACGGTTGGTTGATCTGCACAGGTAGATGGATAGACAGATAGACTTAAGAGAAATGCATCCTAAGAGGTCGCAAAGAGGCCAGTCTTTGCACTTGCTGCAGTCAACGCTCTCTCGTATGAGGCCTCTAAGCTTCACTAGGTCTTGAAATCTCCTGAGCCTCGATACAGTGGCTTGAGACCACACCCTGCATGATTCAATCCTGCCCATGGCGAGCCCGGAAGTCTGCCGATGACTGCTGCGCAGGCATTCCCTGGAACAATCCCAGGCGAGATGGCCTCGTATCCCCGGTCAATGGCACCGGCTGCCGCCCGGACCCCACTGGGGGCCAGCTGAAGAAAGTTTCTCATGGTTATCAGGGCCACAACTGTGCTCTTCCTTGGAGTGTGCTGAATCCTCAAGATTATCGCGCCAGTACTACCACGGTGTCATAGATCCGCAGAATCGAGACATTCAAAACATCAGACAAGAAAGACAATCCACTCATTGTGCTGTCCTGCTCTGTGAAGATAAGTCGATGCGGCTCAAGCTAGGTGAGTGGATTGCTGCACCAGTGGCAATGAAGCGTGAATTGGCCCAGCACCAGGTGTGGCCTCCGCAGCCAGCACCCTATGCAATGGTACAGGCCAGAACCATGCATGTCATGAAGTCTGGCCAGTTAGAGCAGAAGTTGCAAGGCAACACAATCCCGAGTCCTGGAGTTTCAATTTGCACGTGCACCGAAGTCCGAAGCAGGCGGTCCATGCACCCTATGTTGCACAGCCGGTCTGTGGTAAGCCAGTGGCAGCCTCAGGGCTGCTGTCCCAAGTCCTTTTCGGCGCAGCATTCGGATGTTTGCTTGCACGCCACATCCGCTTCCCCTCCATGAGCTCATCGTCGACCCTGGAGATGAGGGGCATGTCATCAAAGCTGAGTGCCTCTGAAGTCGCATCGAGCCGAAGGCCGGAACCGAAAGCCCCAAAGTCTGAGGTCGGTGAGCTGAATCTGGGGCTCATGAGCCGCTTGGCGCATCGAGTGCAACCCTTGAAGCCGTTCGAGATTCGAGGCGCAAGAGGCGTATAATAACGTCCAAACTCTGCAAGAATTGGGCCCTGGGAAGCTCCACGATCTTGAACCGCCAAGTTCCAGCTCTTCCTTTTGTCCTTCTGTCTTCGCTTCCCTCGTCCGCGTGCAAAAGGATTCGCAGATGAATTTTCCAGCTGTTGCAGCGGAAGTCTTTGGCCCAGGCTCTACGACCACAGCCGCTCCTTCCTCTCCCGACGACGCCAACTCCACACCCATCTTGCCGGGCACCAAGGGGTAGGCAGTGGATCAGTCGCACCGTCCCGGACCCTTAGTCTTGAATCTGTTCACAACATCTAGCCCTACACTTCCGAAGCACTCCATAGCGTGGGAACGATTTCAGCACACTTTCTCGTCAAGGCATGCTTGCTGGATACAGTACATAGGCATCGCACCGTGGCAGCCCAAAGTAAATGCCGCCTCATGACATATGTTGGGCACTCCCTTTCTTGCAGGTTCTGTCCGGAGCGCCGACCGATGCCCGGCAGTGCCTCAAGCTCTCTCTCGGCCCCGTGTGGGCCTGAGGATCTGAGGATAAGGATTTTGGAGGTTTGAGTTTCGAGTATCTTAGCTACACTCTCTCGGGTTTGGAAGGAAATTTCCTGAAATTGAACACGACTGGCATAAATGCGTACACTCACTCATGATGGCTTTTTGCGCGTGCACGCCCGTTTTCGGCATGGCAGCTAGGTAAAGCATGAAGCGGCATCAACTCCGGTAAATGTCATGTCTGCGAAATGCTGGATGCACTACCCCTCCGTGGCTGCCCCGATCTGCGCCCTAGCAGGCCTACAGACGTCAAGCTGAACACAGCGGCTGACACATGGCTGCATGTCTGCGGAAACCTTGGAGAGAACTTGGGGGGTACCTTCAGATGCACTTGACCGGAACACGTGCATGCGATGCTCTCATCTCCTCTCCAAAGACTCATCTTGACGGAAGACTTCGAAGCATGTGCAAGGAGGCGGCTGCGATCCGGCTGAGGTTTGAAGCTCCACAGGCAGGCTCTGTGAAACGAAGGGGCAGGGAACTGCGCATCCCGAAGTCCCAGCCCTGTGAGGCCACTTGCGAGGCAGACATTCGACCAGGCCGGGCAAGCCCAAACTTGAAAGTTCTGTCTTCTGAGCTCGGTCGTGGATGCAAAGCCTCGCAATTTCGTGAGGGGCCATCCGTGTGTTGAACTGCTTCGCCCTATGTCCTAGGCGCCTTGAGCTTTCATTCACATGAACCTAGCAGCAACCCAGCTGCCCTTTGGAGTTGAAGTGCATTCCAGTACCCATGGCATCGAACGAAAAGCTGAGAGCTTAAGCTCAAGCTGATGCTTTGAGGCGCGCCTCCTGGCGACACAGGGCGGAAGCCGACAAAGGGCGAGGCGGGCCCTCGAGACAGGATGTTCACCCCGCCCTTGTCCCAGCTTGTAGTATGCAAGCCCGAAAGCAGAAGCGCAGCTTCTCCTGGGCAGCCCAGAATAAATCCTTTTCCCAAGCTCGAGCTCGGCTCAGGGCAAAGTCTTCATCGCTTGCCCCAAGCCTGCAGGCACGAAAGATTGCAAATTCTCCAGTCGTCAACTTTTCTACTGGTAGTATTCTTGTGTTGATTCGACGGCTTGTCAAGGTATCTGGCATCAATACGAGTACAGAAGGGTCTCAGTGCGGTCCACAATATAAATTCGGAGGAAGCGCAGAACTTGGGAACATCAGCCTGTGCGATGACCGGCTAGAGCGTTGCAGGCGCAAGGCCCAAGGCATTGCAAGCTCGGCGCCAGGCCGCGCTCGGTCCCCTGACGCCGTGCTGTTGGGCCGGCCTGTGCCTAGCACCGGTACCTCGCCTGCACAGACCGAAAGCCAGCAGGTTTTTGTAGGTGGTTCCTGGCCAACCGGCAGTTGTTCGGATTGTACATGTAGGCTTCGTGTGAGCAGGTGGTGTGCGAACGCCGGTGCAAGGCGGGACGAAGATGGCTCCGCAGGCTGGGCGCTTCCTGAAGTGGAAGGCTACTCAAAAACCACGATTGCAAAGCAGATCACACAACGTAGTCGTTGAGCACCGAGCGTGAAGCTGAAGTGCCAAAGTGGTGGTGGCTCGGGTGAGTCAAAATATGCACTGTGTAACCCGGTCGCCTCCTGGTCGTTTAAGAATGTAGCCGATGGTCAATGCGAGCCCTCAGTTGGCACTTGGCAACAACACCTCATGAAAATTCTGTTGATTGATGCTTTAAGACGGAGTGACGGAGATTTGACATAGTTGAGCATTGGTGCTACAAGACACGGTGCAGACTGTGCCATCAGTCCGGTTGCAAACAGCTGAAAAGGACACTTCAAAAAGGGCCACAACAAGCCTGCAAGTGTGATCTTGGCAAGGCTGGCACCAGGATCCCAGTACAGGCCACAGCAGCCTTTCACGTTTGCACCTATCGGGAAGCTGGTTTTGACTCCAAAACGTCCTGGGTGCTTGTCTCCACTTCGTTTCGTTACAGAGTGTATATATCGAAGCACGAGGTCTGCTAAGTAGGAATGTTAAGCCACAGTGATTTAGCCTGTACACTTTAGCAAGTTGCCTCAGTTGAGAGTGCACGCAGGGTGGCGTCAAGACCCCGATGCCCAACGCTGCAAAAGCGCCGTTGCAGGGCGTAAGGACATGAAGCTTCGTTGTCATTGCTGGAATCGGCTTTTGAAGTAGCTGCGAACGTAGTCATGACTCGCGATCATCAATAGTCTGCAGATGCTGGTAGTTGTGCTTCTGGTAGTCACGATCGCGGATATGCTGACCATGATGGTCTTCGTCATATGATGAACAGTCAACAGTGGCATTTACGTTGAACTTAAGTCTTCTTCTCCCTTAAGAGTATGAGCATGAGTATTGTCAAGGCTATGCATGTTATTATGCATTCTTATCATGTTCAAGTTTTCTGACTTGTTGGTGACCATGGCACGTCTGTGAGTGGGGGATGAGCTGGTCTCCGCAGCATGCATTGCTAAATCAGCTTCGCCGATGTTGCAGTCGTGTATCGGCTTCGAAGCATAACAGCGGTAAAGATCGTGCGGCAACTGCCAAGCTTTCGGGCCCAACGGCGAGGTGTTCCATGTCAACTGCGCTTTACCCCAGACTCTGTAGCATTGCAGGACACCGGTCCCGGGCGGCGTACGCACTCCGGTGTCAGGTGGCTATCCCTTGCTCTTAGTTCTTGTAGAATGGAAGTCGAGGCAAGGCGAGAGGGTATTCGATGCCAAATTCGCGAATACACACGCGACTGTGGTGCTGGAGCCTGCAAGCCACCGCCAGGCGGCGTGCTCACTCCCGCGCCTCCCGGACAGGGTGGGGCCAGGACCCCTGTCTCCCCGCTGCCAGGCGCGGTCTGTGAAGTACTGAGCTCAGCACCAGCGCACATTCATCGCAGCTTTCTGAAAGCAAAGACTCTATCTTTAAGCCTTGGGCAATCGACACAATGAGCCTGCACCTTTCGTCGAATGGCTTTAGAAAGATCCTCAGAGCCTCTTTCGGGTGTATGACTAAAGTTTAGGCTGATTAGCTGATTTCGAGAGGGAATCTTTCGTTTTTCATGGACAGATCGATTCTGTTCGGCTTCAGCACGGTCTTTTCGCCGATACGTTGCCTTGCACAGAGCAATTTTGAGATTCTTCGTTGGCATACCCCTAGCCTCGTCCATTCGACCCTGCAGAGGCCTTGTCTTTTCAATTATCTTCTTCTTATGTTGCATTGTGTCGTGTGTATGGCCGATGAGCAGAGACCAATCTATAAGCCGGCGAGGATCTGGAACAAGTCTCCAAACATGACTTCACCTAAAAGTGCTGGGCACTGGGAGTCAAGCATCCCGAAGAACCAGAGCCATGAAGTGCTTGGATCGCCTGCGCAGGCGCCCGGAGCCCGCTTCAGCCGCACAAGGTGCTGCTTAGAGCTAAGACCGGCGGCGCCCTGGGCGGCAAATCTTCATGCGCTTGCTTTGCAGAGAGCGCTCCGGGGTCAGGAGGTGTGCTCTGCCTTCACCTGCCACAGTGACAAGTGAGTCACAATGGAAGCCCAATCTCCGGCTACGCCGCCCACCTCGGCTGCCGGAGAGTGTGCCGTGACAGGAGGGGAGTGGAGCTGAAGGCAGAAAACCGTTGCGAAAAGGACCAGAAAAGGGAGATGTGTGGGAGGGGGTCGAAATTGTGGACCAAAAGGTGGGTGGGTGTCAGTGTCACTGGACTTTCGCAGCAGTGAGGAGGATAAGGCTAAGGTCAAACCCCTCAGACGCCTGAGGGCTGTGGCCTCGGCGGACTAATGTATAGATTCAGTGTAGATATGTAGGTAGGCAAGGTAGGTGGGTAGTTACTGTACAGGCAGACGAGTTTCGAGTCTTAAGGTGCGGACCTGACTCCGCCATCCCCGACACCGACAGGGAGCCCGGCACTGGTGAAGAGCAAGACCGGCCTGAATGCAAGGAGGGGTTTTTTCCTAAGTTAGGCGGGTGCCATGGTTGTCTAGACTTGGTTTTGTGTTTTGCTTTTCCGACGCAGGTGCCTCAGTGTGAAGATGGGCTCCAGAAATTCCTTGATGTCATGCACAAGTTGTTACCTCGCCTTGTGCAGTGAAGTGCACGGTGTCCACCACGTACGCTGGAATACTAATTTTGAGAAGAGGCAACATGCGACAGTTCCATAAACGTCTCCATAAGACCTAAGCCCAGACAACAGCCTCCGCGGGCAGGCGCGTGCCAAGCCCGGTGCTGGGGCACCGCCTGGTTGCACCGGGATCCGAAAAAGGCAGCGTGGGCCAGGGTGCCAGTCTTGACGCGAAGAAAGCACCGATCGCAAAACCAAGGGCGTTGCTTTTAGCCTCAGCACCAAGTGCTTGCGACTCCCGATTTCCAGGAAACCGGAGCTGCTCCCCAGAAGGCGGTCACCTGCCTGGGCAGCCGCCCGACAGCAGAAATTTCAGTCTTGCAGCGGCTTGAGGCTTTCTGCTTCGTGTTTTCCCAGTGCTGTGGGGTTCAAGGAAGTCGTTCTCTAGATTTGCAGACTGCTGGCAGACGGCTTGCAGTGAGCCTCCTGCCGACACTGAAGAGCCGGCTAATGCCGGCTGTGCATGGCCATGCATCCCATAACAAAGCCACTGACGGAGCCTAGACCGAAAAGATATGGTTTGGGAATTTGCTGGCAGTTCCACCCAGGACCAGTGCTCCACCGTCGCCACAGCTTCCGAGCCGCACAGTGGGGGTGGCCTGGCTACAGAAGCTATTCCTTGACAGCACATGGGCTGATGCTGTGGGGGTAGCGAATGGCTGCATGCGTTGCCACAGCGCAGTACGCTTGAAAAAGAGGCCACCTTTGCAAGTATCTTGCTGCTAGCACGCCATCATGCGACAACGACCCAACATAGACAAGCGCTGGGATGCCATGTGAGACCCGCGGTTTTTGCCAGGCGGCTTGCCGACTCCGAGTTCATAGCCCGCGGGGCCAGAAGGACTGGCCTGGGGAGATTTGGGCATTTTACCGTCCACATCATTCCTTTGGTCTGCCTCATGACAACTGCCTATAAACCGGCACCGAAGAAATCCACCACGCCTGGACGACTTGCTGAATGTTATTTTTGCTTTTGAGCCAGAGACCGAGATGTATATCCCGCTACGAAACCCCACAAAAAGATGCAAGAAACACTTGCAGGAGAAGGCTGCGCCAGTGACAAGGACGTGCAGTGAGGGCGAGGAAGCCCTCCACAAACTGCACGGTGCCCTTGGCGCGCACAGGGGCCATGGAGAGTATCTTTGATGTGCATCTGTGATATGTGTGTGTACTCCCGTTCCTCAATTTTATGAGGTAGTGCCAGCTTGATCAAAGATGCCCTGGAGAGCAAGCAGAAGCTGCAGAAGTATGCCAAGCCACCGCCTCGGATGTGTTCCGTCCTGTCCTGCGCTCTCAAGGGAGCTCCTCGACTCCTTCGCAAGCCAGGTCCTGCTTCCAAGCGTCAGACGCCAATGGCGACGGCCAAGTGAGTGGCGCAGTCTGCAACTGGCAGCTGGGGGTTGGCCTGCGTGTTGGCTTTTTACAACGCTGCTGATGGTGCTTGTTATCAATCTGGGGATGCGAGACTTGCGTGAGGTTTCGAGGAGCTTTGCAAGTGCTCCTTGGCTGCCGGGGATGACGAGGGGTGTTAGGGTGTTGAGGCACCGCCTGGCTTGCTCTCTGTTGCCTCCTTTTTGTGTATGTGTGTGTGTGTGTGTTGCAGGGGCTTCGTCCAACATGTCAGATCTTGTGTGCAGCGCGATTCGGGTTCGGGCTTCCCGGACTGCCTTCTTGCCTGTTGGGCTTGTTTCGAAGCTGGCTAATTCAAAGCACTTGGACAGTGACGGACTAGGTTTGAAGGGCTTGGAGAATTTTGGGGTGTGGGTGGGGGCTTAAGCCTTTCGGGCTAGACTGCAGCCCGAAATCTTGAGCATAGGCCTGAAACCCCATGCATTGCGCAGGCATGCAGAAGATGAACGCAGATCTCGGCATCGGGGATTTCACGGAGCGGCACGTGATGTGCTCCGGGCTGATTACTGTGCTTCGTGTGTTATGGTAGAGCCAAACCATTCCAAATTTGTTGCCGCCGTTGTCATCGTTATCATCAACATCAGCAGTGCCGGAATCATCACCACCATCATTATCGCCATCACACCATCACCATCACCATCACCATCACCATCATCATCATCATCATCATCATCAACATCACCATCATCATCATCACCATCGTCATCATCATCATCATCATCATCATCATCACCGCGAGCGTCGCCACGTGCAGGGTCCGCGCATCGAAGGGAGTCCGTCAGTGAAGATGTATGTGGGCTGCGGCCAACAGATGTCACCGTAACAAAGGCCAGAGGGCAGCCTTACAATCGATGCCTTGTTTGTGTTCCGTGACGCCGGTAACTTTTAAGCGCCCTCGACCCATCGAAACCTCCAAAAAAAGAGCATCCAAAGTGCAGATCCCCGACGTTTCCCCTCTGCTCGCAGCTAGCACCTCTGATATGGTGGCCGTAGTTTTTGACATGTCACAGACATAGCCCAGAACCAACATTGGAAAACAACCAGCTGCATGTGCCCTGGTGGCCTGCTGACATAAGATTCAGTTTGTGTACTGTGCACCCAACAATCCAGGGCCAGCTATTCGAAGGCCAACCCTCCATGAGATTTGCTGGCAACGAATTCGTTCGGGATCGCTAACGCATCTCTGGTGATGGAACCCTGATCTTACTGCTAGCAGACGACTGACGTGGCAACCTGCAAGCAGCTAAGCCGAGAAGGCACTACCTCCAGAGATTCGACACCGACGGCGACGAGCTGCTAAATGAGAAAGAGCTACCCGGCCGAATCCGAAGGCGATGTCAAACCCGAGAACCTCATGCCTTAGGTTCCAAGAGCTCTACAGGGCCCTGCTTCTGGTGAAGCTGGAGGATCTTGCCGGGGCTTTGCAGCCGGAAAGCACAGCCATGGCTAAGCAAGGGTCATGTGTTTTTGATGAGGTGTGCCTTGCGTCAAGTGTTCAGCTGCCTGCCATCTAGTTGGTGCAGAATCTTCAGTCACGATTGTCCAGCATGCCATCCAAGCCCTGATAGACATCAGCCACACCACCTACAATCGAATCCTAAACAGCTGATCGCTGAGACTACGTCTTGCCAAGAAACGCCAAAGGTTGACCACGCAAAGGTAATGTGTTCAGCAGGTGTAAGGTTGACCTGCCAGCTAGTAGGATGGCAACATGCAGAATGAAGAGTATCGCAACAGTGATGAAACTGGCCATAGCAGTACTCAGAACAACTGGAAGACGAGCCTTTCCAAAACGAAATACCCGTCGGAGGAGGTGGAGCCTGCCGACTTCTCGCGGGATATGTTTATTGGCCGACGGAAGGCGGGGCTCGGCCGCGAACTTTTCTACGTAAGCCCAGCTTACGTCCAGTTTGTTTGTCGTTAAAGCCCAGCTGGGCACCAATTCGCTTCGGATTCTACTCGGCTTCTAGCAGCGTCAGATAATTCAGGCCGGGTGAGTTCTGTGCGTTACCATCCTTTTCTGCTATGCACTGCTGTTCAACCCTGCGCCATGCCGTTCTGTGCTGTTCCGGTCTATTCTGTATTTCCTGATTGAGATCGCGGGCTTCGTGAAAGCAATGACAGCCTTGCTAAATAGGCCGTTTGGAAAACACGATGGCTGCTCCTTGTGTCAAGTGCTGCTATAGTCACTAGTTGCCAAAAGCGCGGGTGTGCCACCTATGTAGGTGGCTATACCCTTTCGCCCGAATGCTCATGGCAGGGGAAGCCGGAGGACAACTACGAGGTCTTCGGCTTCCCGCCCTGACATGACCATTAAGGGGGCCTTCGGTTCCTTGGGTTATGTCTGAACTCGAACCCACTTTTTGGCCGAAGCTGAGGCATCGTGGGGGTCGGCTCTTTCGGAGTGGTCCGGAAAGTCAAGTCGGGGACTCGGGGGGCTTTGGCACTTTGCCTTGTCAGGTTTGAGGGATTCCAGTGCGGCCTTGTAATTAGTGAGTGCCTGCAAGGGTTTCAGGTTCCAAATTGGATGTAGGGTTCTGATTTTGCAGCGCAGTCTTATAGTGATAGCACGATCCCATGCCGTGGCAAGATTGCTTCCAGGAATTTGCAAAGGCTGCGGAAACAGGTTGGCAATCTACCACAGAGAGCGCGCACCTGTGGGGGCGGAATTCGGCATTCAATTGACATTTGTTGGGCTCAGGTGCAAGCTTACCGGCACCACTCGCGTGATGAAGGTGGTCGACAAGCAGAAGGCACTCAATGGAGGCTCCCCGGAGGCATCGCAGCTGTTGCCTGGAAGGATTTCGGGTCCCGGCACTTTCGGAGCTGCCGCTGTTTGGTCAGCTGAAGACTTTGCCACGAGATCCCTGCTTGAGAAAGTTTGCAGATCTCGGGGAGTGCATGGAGAGGCATTTGTCAATGGAGCAGGGAGATCTCCTCAGAAACGACTCTTGCAGAGTCGAGATGCCAAGGCTATCCTCTGAAGCTCATCATGGAGGCGCGGTAGCTGCGGTACCCGGCTCGGTATTGCAAACTGACGAGGGCATCCGACGAGGAAAAGTAGGCCATGTGAAAACTTAGCTTTGGCTCCAACTTCGAGAGAAAGCTCGCTGTCGTGACTTCACCTATCAGTGGTGCAGGAGATCGACAAGCTCCGGGCTCTTGACCACCCGTCGGTGCTGCGGCTCTTCGAACCTCTTGCCAGAAACGGTCTTGCTGTGCTGTCTTCTCTAGTGGCCCAAGCCCCGAACTATTGATTCTGCTGCCAAGATGCCGCAGACCAGGAGATAACAACAAACAGCACAACACAACATAGAAGCCAATCGGCAATCAACAGGAGCTGTCACAACGCACAGCAGCAGTGGTGGCGGTGGTGGTAGCAACAGCCTTGATGCCATCATAACCAGCAACATCATCACCAGCCATGCAGCTAATCACAACCACAGGCACGACCACAAGAAGAAGCATAGCAATAAGAAGGTGAAGCAGAAGCAGCAGAAGACAACGACAATGACAACCAAAGCCGCCTCTGCTGCCTCCGCCGCCACCGACACCACCACCACCGCCGCCACCGCCGCCGCCGCCGTCGCCTCCGCCTCCGCCTCCGCCTCCGCCTCCGCCTCCACCCCCACCTCCACTAACAACAACCTCCACGACGACGATGACGACGACAAACACAACAAGAAGACCAGCAACTTCAACTGAAACAGCAGTGATTACTTGACCTACAAACAAAGAATAGCAACAACACAGAACGGTGTATTGTCAGCACAGACAATGCGGTTGATGATATAAATCCCGCATTGCCCAGAATATGGAATATACCATTTTCCCATAGTTTAGGATCCTTAAGGTAATGCAGGATTTGTATCATCAACCGTAGTATATTAAACCCTAAACCCTAAGCCCATAAGGACGCAATTGTTAGGGCCCCTATCTTAAACCCTAAACCCATGGTTTAAGGTCCTTAAAGTCATACAGGATTTGTATCATCAACAGTAGCAGTGCTTCAGCCATAGATCTTCCGACAGTGCATCGAGCCATCAAGCCGTCTCTCTTTGCATTCGACTCTAGTAGTCTAGGGTTGCTTGGGGCTTAGGGCTTAGGGCTTAGGGTTTAGGGTTTGGGGTTTAGGGTTTAGGGATGAAAGTTTGGGGTTGGGTTATTTTGGGACTTACGGATAATTATTTTGGGACGTAAGCGGGATTAAGCTTTAATCTGTAGGGTGGAGGGTTTGGGTGCCTAGCCTAAGGCTTTGGTATTCAGTCGACCGAAGGCTTAACATGGTAGAGCTTCGTGCCCAGAATTTTCCAGGGCTGTGAGATTTTGAGTTTAGTTGGGGGGGTCTAAATAATTGGTGATAGTATCTCGTTGTAGCTCCTTCAGGTAGAACTACAGTATAGCAACCATATAAAGGCTGCAAAATTGTCCCATCCAGCTGGCTCCCCTCAGAGGCCCTCTGCGCAAAAATCGAGAGGGCAAAGATCCACAGCATCTCGGCACCCAACTGTCTTGCCCTCTAGCGCTTGGGACTATAGGGTTTAGGGTTCAGGGGAGCTTTCGGGCTTAAGGTTGAAGATGTTGAACTCTGGTGTTTGCTGCAGGCTTGTGAGTGCTCTTGCAACAGCTGGCTGGCGCATGGAGAGTCGATCTCTGCATGGCATTTCTCGCCACTTTGAGGAGCGTTCAGAAAAGCACTACCACACCTTAGGCTCTGGACCTGGGATACCAAAACCCAAACCACAGCCGAACCTAACAAACTCTTTAGCCCCAAAACCTGAAACCCCGAAACCCTAAGCCCTTCAACCTGAAATCCTAAACTTCTGAAGCCCAATCATGCTCGATCCCTGATGGTCTGTCTCAGGCTCTCGAGCTCGTTCACCATGAACTTCCGCAGCTGTGCGATGTCCTTATGGAGGCAAGGTAGATCGCGAGTTTGGAATACGGTTTACGGTTTAGGGGTTTAGGTTTGCCTTGGGTTTACATAAGATTTCGCGCTTAAGGTTGCGGATATTGCTTGTGTGCTGCTGGGCTAATGCAGGAGACAACCAGAGGCTTCGTTCGGGCTCGACATGTTCGATCTAGACTCTGCAGGATTGGTTTAGGGTTTAGGGTTTAGGGACTCTGCAGGATTTAAGTGTTACATTTAAAACCCTCGGGCACATTGATGAATATCTTATTACTGGTATATCGACTGCGCACGAGCCCCCTTCTACGGACGATGATCTGGAAATCTTTGGCCTTGCTTGGACGATCATAGTTACACTCAGTATACTCTTAGGCCTTACTTGGGGGCCCAAGGGCCTTGGCAAGTGGGTTGTAAGTAGAGTTTCGATACCCGGATACGGATGTCGGATATCTGACTTAAGAATCGACTTACACCCGACGTGTGGAGTCACTAGAACATCCAAGTGCTTGCACATGCACTAGATTGACGACCACAGGTCCTAAGGTTTTGCGTCAACAAACATGACATTTTGCATTGCATCAGCCTCTTCCTTGACTTGAAACGCCGGCACAAATACAGGGTTCATGACTTAGTGGCTTCCGGCTTCGAATGACCAGCCTATATAGTACGTACACAAGGGCCTGGAAGTACCTACTAAGGAACCCCTTAAGGCCTCAATATACGCACCTACGGGAAGGTATGGGCTAAATAACTGGCAGCCCCGTTTTGAAGATCAAGGTTTAGGGTTAAGGGTTTAGGGTTGAGGGTTTTGGGCTTAGGGTTTCGGGTTTAAGGTTTCTCCGGGCTCAGCTTGAGAGAATTGTCCTTGCGATGAGCAGCCGAGGATGCGCTAAGGCCCCATGAGGGTTCGGAATGGTTGCATCTATCAACTATAGGGTACTCTAGAGACGGAAGTCTTCTTGCTGAAAGCGTCCCATATGAGAGTTGGAACATTTTTTCACGCTAGTGCAGACCTCAAATAATCGGATCCTAATACACAGTGAGCGCCGAAATCAAGTGATCTGCCACCCCCAACCCCCACCCCCCCATGTTCAGAACCGCCCCACATCGAAGCACGCATGCAGCTAAGCACTCCTGATACGGTTTATAAGGCGGTTCCCTGTGACTTCGATGCGACATGTGGGGAATTGGGAACTACAAGGTGTATGTTTTAGCCTAGGGGGGCGTTAGGGCCGTCGAAGAGCTCAGGGTGCAAACATACTTGATGATGGGCATACCTCAATCTTCCGATTTGAGTCTGGGCACATCCGGATTGGATTATATGGAGTTTTAACACAAAGGAACTCAAAATTCACGCCGAAGGGCCATCATGCTCACAGAGGTTGTGCGCCGGAATTGCAGGACAGCCTGGGACTGTTTCGGGCTGTGGGCTCCGCACCCACACTTTCACGCTTTGTCAGCCCCTGGTATTCATTGCCGGTGCCCCGGAGACTCATAATCGCAACGATGGAGGCCAAACGTTCCACCAAACGTAGTGGAACAGTACGATCTTTGGTCAACGGTCCACAGATATGTGTCCTTAACCCTGAACCCCGAAACCTAAACATAAACCCTAATGCCACACCCTTAGGGCTTCAAGGCTTACAGACAATAAATATCAATAATACGGTTGATGATACAAATCCTGCACTAACTTAAGGACCCTAAACTATGGGAATCGTGGTAGCTTCCTTATTATGAGTAATGCAGGACTTATATCATCAACCGTATCATAGCAGTTTTAGTGCTGCTTTGGTCAGCTTTCACCAGGCAGTAAAGATGCTTTGCTTGTATGCATGTATATGATGATAACGTACACAGTATGCTGGTAAATCGGAAGTTCAAGGACATCAAGTTTCTTGAGACAGAGCTCCTTACCTCTCAAACTTTGCAGACTCGGCCAGGCTATCAAAGTCCTTCGCGCTACCGAATCTATAAGGTTTTCTATAATGGCACTGTAAGAAATAAGGAATGCACCTTCAAGGGTTCCTTACATGGATCCACAAAAATTTCTATGAGGTACCATAAGACTTAAGGGCTATCTATATATATATATATATATGTATATATATATATATACATATATGTATTAAGGGATATACCGCAAGTTATAGTCGGATCCCAGCTATGAGTTCAGGTATGGTCCCTGGTGAAAGGATGTTGGAAGGTCTGGGTACATCTGATCGTACCGAAGGCTCGAGGTTTCAGGACGATCGGGATTTTTATCGGGCATGAGGGCTTTTACGGTGTAGTTTAGGGTTTAGGGGTTTAGGGTTTGGGTTTAGTCAGCCTGAGGAGCAACAAATCGAAAATAACTAGACACCCTGTTAACACTGAACCGTCAGGACCCTCACAAACCCAAGGCCCAAAAAATACACAAAATGCTAGAACCCTAAGCAGACTTACATGTAAATGACAAAACAAGAAGCATAACAACTCTGAAACCCCACAACCCCTAAACCCTAAAATCCTTATATCCTGAGCCACCTTTAAACCCCTAAGCCAAGCAGCGTCCACCAACTCGGGAACGGAGAGGTACTCCCGAGCATGGAACATGATCTCTGGGTAATCGACCTCGGTGCTTCCCAAAAACCCGCATCCCGAACCCTAAACCCTAAACCCTAAACCCTAAGGTTTGGGGTATAGAGGTTTAGGCGGTTCATAGAAACCGTATCGGGAGTTTGGCGCAGGTTCTGGGCGGGCTTTTTGTGGATTTTAATCGGGCGATGCCTGTTGCTGTGTTGGCTAATTGTGGGTGCTTTCGGGAAGCCAACCAAGGTCGAACTCAATGAAACTGGCAGTTTGGAGGGGGGGGAGGGGAGGGGAGGTTGCCAAACCCGCAAAGCAGGCCAACAGACTATGTATTGCCCTAAGGGTCCAAGTAGTCCTTATTTATGGTTTTAGGTTCCCAAAAAAGCCCCAAAGTCCTTAAATACTGGGCACTTGGACCCTTGGGGTTGGCTACTGATGGAGTTTCAGGAGTCTGAAGAATGGCCAATATCGCTGGGATTGGTCGTCTAGGGTTCCCCAAAGTCCATGCCTATGCCTTGGCTCCTTCCGTAAACCCTGAACCCTAAACCCTGAACCCTAAACCCTTCGTGGTGTGAGCGAGCCTTGCTCCTTTCTCGCAAGAGATGCTTGCAACCTGCCATGCAGTTGAAAGCCACACGTCTAAAGATAAGACTTCTGTTCTTCCAGAGCCTGAGGATGTAGGGTTCAGGGGTTAGGGGTATAGGATTTAGGAATTTAGGTTTTAGGGGTCTCACGTTTAGGTTTTATGGGGTTCAGGGGCTTGGAGTGGATACGTGCATGGCTACCTACCTACCGACCTACCTACCTACCTTCCTTCCTGCCAGCTTGCCTGCCTATCTACAGCCATGCATGCATACATGCTGCTTACAGACATAAACCCTAAGCCCTAAACCCTAAACCTATTACATAATGTCCACGGAGGACATTAGCCCTAAACCCTTAAACCCTAAACCCTAAAACCCTAAACCCTAAACTTATTGCATAATGTACGGGGAGGATATCAGCCCTAACACCTTAAACCCTAAACTTATTACATAACGTACATACACAAACCCAAAGCCCTAAATCCCTAAACCTATTGCAGAATGTACAGGGAGTACCTTAGCATGCATCGCAGTTGCGACGCACATGACATCCACATCGATGTTCTGCATCGTCACAACGAGCTCGGGATCCTTGGGTCGGGATATACCGGTTTAGGGTTTAGGGTTCAGGGTTTAGGGTTATGTGTTCAGGGTTTAGGGTTGAGGGTTTAGGGGTTTAGGGTTTAGGGTTTAGGCTTTAGGGTTTAGGGTTTAGAGTATACCGGAACGCCCTAACCCCCAGGTACCTACTATCTACCCATAGGTCCCATAGTAGTTCCTTTTGGGGGTTACCTTATAGGGTAATTTTTTTGAACCGAAAAACGGAACTACTTTAGGGCCTATGGGTAGGGCCGTAGGGGCCTAGTACCCTATATAGTAGGTAATTGGGCGGGGTTAGGGACGACTACGAAACATGAACCCTATACGGTTTAGGATTTACCTGCATCCCCCAACCCTACGAAACAGTAGGTGATGACCCCTTCATTATAGGATCTTACCCTTAAAACGCTAGTTTTTTGATGCCCAGATTGGGCTTACGGCCACATAAGGGCCCCAGATAGGTTATCTCTATTTGCAAGAAATTCCCCCATCGCAGGCCAGGGTCCATCATCAGTTGCAAAAACATCTGCCGGTTGACGCCGTGTGTTGCATCCGAAGGCACGAGATCCTTCCACGGGTTAGGGCTTCGGTTCGGGCTTCGGGCCTTCAAGCTTTCAAAGGGTTTAGGGTTCAGGGCAGTGTAGGGTTTAGGGTTTTGGGTTTAGGATATACTAGTTTGACTGGAGTTTTGGAGGTTTCTGCAACTACTGCAATTATCTTTGGGGGCCGGTGGGAAGACCATTACGGAACACATATTATATTTTGCTAAAGGAATGATTACTTGTCTTTGATGTCCATGAGCGCCAGCCATCGCACACTTTAAACCCTAAAGCATCACTACGCAGCGAGAAATTACTCCCAGAAGCAAGCCACGAAACTTCAGAAAGCCTGGGGTTAAGGCATTCTATACCGGACTGCCTGCCCGATTTGGAGATTCGGGCCACCCCAAGAAGAAGCTGGCTCGCAAATTTGAGACCATGGAAGCCACAGATTTTTAAATTGCGGGCAGTGTAGTATGGAGTTTAATATGGTTTTTAGGGTTTACGTTCTGGGGCTTAGGATTTAGGATTTGGCTTCTTACGATTAACAAAGTATCAGGGTTTAGTTGGCGACTTAGGGTCGAGCGCAGGATTGCGGATTAAGGATTGGAGTTTAGAATACTTAGCTCGGTACTGACCTATAATCTCCATTGTACTTCCTTGCTTTTGGTTTAGCCAATATTATAGTTAGGACCCTAAGGTAACCCCAAAAACGGATTTTGAGCAGAGTTTATCAACCCTCACGTCCTGGATCTTGTCACGGAGTGCCTTCACTGCGCTCTCCTGCAGCGACGGCTTCAGGAGTGGCAGGCTCGTGTTGAATTCTTGCGCAGGATTTAGAGTTGCTTCCTGAGCGAACGAGAAGACCTACAGTGTATGAAGGCTGTACGGCGGCATACCAACGCATATACACATCAACTGAAGTATGTATGCACCCAGACATACACATTGTCTTAACGTACATGACGACAGCGGCAGCAACGGAAACGGCACATATGTTCATGCAGAAGACAGACGGAATACTTGCTTGCTGAGCATGTCGAATACGGCTTCGGGTTTACTATACCCTAAACCCTAAACCCTAAACCCTAAACCCTAAACCCTAAGCCCTAAACCCTAAACTATACTGAAAATACAATTCCTCGTAATTGTCTCGAGTACCGGCCCTGAAACCCAAGAGCCTAAACCGTCCTAAACCTAATCCGCCTAAACTTACCCTAACCCCCCAGGTACCTACTATAGGGGCTACTGGAGCCCCTAGGGCCCTATATACTAGGTA